ATTACCTGTAATAGCTCTGATGTGTGTGCTTGACACAGGATGAACTACACACATGCAGAGTGTGGGATATGATAAACACCGGTGTCACAATCAATATTATCGAGAGTGAGCACATCAATTCTCCCTAAAATGTCCTGTACTTACCTTGGAATTCCTCCTTCCTCTTCCCTTCTTCACCCTGTCCCCACATAACTATTTGTCTTTCTCATGTCACTTTAGACTACCTTTAATTTTGTAGAATTCATAAATAGATAATGGTATCATATGTACTATTTAGTAGGGCTTCCTTGGCTCAGCAGGAATCCTTGTGCGTACAGCCGTGTTGCTGTCCGTATCAGGAATCATTGGTTTAATGACCAGCAGCTCTGAAGGCACAGGCTTGGAAACAGCAGCCAGAGGAGGATCTGAAGCAGCAGGAGGAAGCCCCTTGTTTCAAGGCTCATCCACACACCCTCCAATCCCAGGAGCTCTTGGTCCCAGAAGGAGATTCAATCCCTTGCTGTTTGGTAACATGATCTGCTGGCTGTGGAGAAGAGACCAAGAGGCAGAGCAGGTGGACAGGAGAATGTTGAGGTAGAGGCTCTGAAAGTCCAGGCGACGGAAGAGGCCAGGAACTGGGATGAAGAGCAGAGAGGGAGGAACTGGCCAGGCTGCAGAAGAAACCTGTGTACAAGAAAATCCAAGACTCAGGTACCAGGGTGTGGAAGTTCCAACAAGTGTTCAGCCTCTGACTGTGATGTATGTCCCATGTTCTCCACTAGATTCCACTGCTAACCTCAGGTGTGAGCTGCAGGCACCACCTGGGCACAGGAGCTGCTCTTTGCTTCAAAACAGGAGCCTTCTTTCTTTGTCACCAGGGCATGGAGAGGACCCATTTCTGCAGCCACACCTCCCCACACCCCACAGAGCTTACCTGACACGTATGGAGTCTCCTCTTGTAGAGAACTGTTTTCCTCCAATACTGAGGTTCATAAGGAGGCTCCACACCTGTGTGTCTCCTACTGACTTCAAGTACTTATTTACTTTGAGCCATTGTGGACCCTGACTGTGGGGTTTAACTCTGACTAGAATGTAAAGTCTCTGTATCAGGACAGTGCAAATATAGTGCCCTTTGCGCCCCTCCCCGTTTTCTATTTTAATCAGAAATAAGGACCATCAACTACTAAGTTAGGATGTACTTCATGTCTTTCCTGAGGAATAATATTGTGTATCAGGTTCTGTCCTCTTCTTTGCACAAATTAAAATTAGGTCAAATGAGACAGGCACTCCAAAGGGGACGCATCGGAATCTGTACAACCAGGAAGAAAACTGTGTGGGCCCACAGGGAGCCTCCCAGCACCCATGTCATGCTTTGGGGCAGGGTGTTTTGAAGACAATTTCTTCCCTTGTAAGTGCTGACAATAACAGGGAACACTGTGCTTACACACATGCATCAGTCCTCCCATAATCTAGGGTGGATGGGAGATATTTGATTCCCCTCCCTGATTATGTCTCATGATGTTTTTAACTCTCTTAGCCCCTTTGTAGATCACTTTGTATTGAGGAAAATGGTCAGTTTGTGAGGCGGAGTGTCCAGGATTCTGGAAAGTACAGGTTCTGTCCTTAGAGGAACTTGTGCTGCAAGCGTTTCCTGTCCATCCCTGTTTTGTTAGCTTCCTCCCAGGAACCACT